ATTGCAGTATTCAGCATGATGATCCTACAGATGTACTAATAGTTAATATGGTCATCACTAGATATTCTCAAATTTAAAAAAAAAAACAAACAAAAAAAACTATATATATGTATTTATTAATTTGATTTATATATATCTCTGTATATTGTACAGACATGTTTTGCTGATTAAAAACCACCAGGAAATGAACTGAAATAACAGAAGTTATAGTTGGTATTTTCTATACTATTAACATCATGGTGGTTTTAACCTTACAAATAAGAATTCTGATGGCTGCTTCATATCTGTTGCAGGATTGCCAATGATTGGTTAGATATGTTTTTCCATGGAAACATTCCTGAAGCTCCTTTTTTGGAATAGCAAGCAACTGACTTGCTGCATTCTCTTGGATTATCTCGACATCTTGAAAGCTTGTTCCTTTCAAGTGGGATTTGATTTTTGAAGAGGAAAATGTCATAAGGGGTGATATCTGGGGAATATGGTGGTTGTGGGAACTGGGAAATGTTGTTCTTAGCCAAAATGCTGCACAAACCATAATCACTGAAGAAACCTCTGTGGTGTGGGGTGGTGATCACACTCTACACACTTTCCTTCAAAGCACTGCTATAAACAAGAGAAGTGATTGAGAACATAACTTAGTGTGTATGCACAACAAAGTTCAAGGTCTATTTGTGCCAAGTGGCTTCACTCTGTCTGTGTACTTTAGTTCCGTTACCATAGTGACAGTCCCAATACTTTTTGATCAAACCTCCAATAAATCCAATATAACTATCAGAATAAATAATATGCACAATTATATTAACTTTTTATAATTCAAATTCTGCTAATTTTTAAAATTTTGGTATTGAAGTCGAGATATACTCTACTTATCATAAATGTAGATGAAGAACCTTTGTTTCTTTATATTGTGACTTCAACTGACTACTATGAAAAACTTGCTCTTTCTTACTTAATATTATTTACCAATCCAGCATTGCAATTTGATACTTTCTTTTCTACTGTTATTATTACTGTAACCTCAACCTATCTCCTTTCTCTTTGTGCAAAAGCAAATGTTCAGGCATTCCATCTGCTGCAAGATAAAGCAGCTGATCTCTGATTTAGTCAGAATCACATATTTTTATATCCCAAAGGCTTACGTTTTCTCTGAGTAGGTCAGCAATCTTATGTCAATATATACTCTTGAGAAGTAAAACTGATAATAACTTTACAGTTTTTGTTGCTGTATATTGTATAGATAAAACCTGGATATTAATATTACAAAATTTGTGCCACTGAGATCTGTTGTGTTTTAAAACCGTCATGAATAAACTATTTTTGTTTAAAATTCTGAGATAAGGTGTTATCATTTAATAATATTTTGCTTTTCATATTTGTTACATGTATTTTTGAGTTTTGGCTAATCACTTCTATTCTCTTTAGATAGTTATGATAGCTGATTTATAGAGTTAATTATTTAAAACTACCCACCAGATGCCATGCTTATCTGCCAAAAAACAAAGTTTAAAAGCAGCACAAGATGTTGACCTTACCAAATTACTCTCTAACGGAATGTAAGCAGAATTGTCTTCAATCAAGACAGTTGTGTCTTTACTCAAATGTTAAATGAGTGAAGACATTTTAAATTGAACAGCTATAAGACTCACCTCTAGAGATTTGAAGTGTGTTTATCATAATTAAATCTTTCTTATTCCAGCTGAGTGGATGAAAATGTAGATATAGCAATCACTTTGTGGGGATTTTATAGTATTTTTTAAATGTAATTAGTTTTAAGACTGGTTGTTTGCTTGTATTCCTGTTTTACAAATTAGGAATTTGAGAAATATTTTCATTTGTGTAAGGTTTTCTACCAAACTTTATTTTGTAAAAAAAATAAAACTTTTTTTTTTCTTCATAGTTTTCAACATTAACTTCTATTTACTGTTTTGTTTCATTATCTTCTCTCATCTTTCAGACAATTTCATAATTTCATTCTTCAAGCTTTGCTTTTTTGAGCAAACAATTGCACTTGATGCATTTTGCAGTCTTCCAGGGAACTAAAGAGTTTTTTTTTTTTTTTTTTTTTTCAGTAAAAGATTTTTTGTAAAAACCAGAATAAATAGTAATTTGAAGATGTAATATTTGGTGAATGTTTCAGATGAGTGAAAACTTTTCAGCAGGACTTGAATAATATTTGCCTGGTTACCAAATAAATTTCTGTTTTATCTGTATTCTGATGGAATATTACATTCTTTGCTATTAATTAATTTCAAATGCTTTTCTTTAATTAATTGGGAGCAGTACTTGTTTGAATCAATCATTTGCTTTTCTGGAAGGAGCTTATAGCAAAAGGCAATTGAACAACTCCTTTAGGTGAAGAATAATTTTTTTTTTTATACAGCTAGGGATTGTTCATTTTGTTTGCTCAATGATTCATATAATAAAGTATCTACATTTCATTATACTTTGTTTCAAAATCAGAACATCATATAATAGTGAATGCTGTATGAAATCTGGAGACAAGGTGGAGTAATGGATTATGGCTTAGATTGTAGAATCTGAGAGCCATGTTCAAACTCCATTCAAGTTTACATTCACTTATGTGCTAAAACCCTTGGGAGATGTATGAATCCATCTTTTCTCCCTCCTCCAGTTATGGGTAAATAGCAGGACTGGGTCCTATAGCCTTGGTTGGTGACTAGTCTAGAAGAAAATCTCTGAATTCAAATCAGCCTAGAGAGGGTTGGGCTCTATCAGGCTATCTTGCTCAGGAAATACCACATGTCGTACACCTACCATCCTAATGGGTTACGGGACTCATGATTGTGATATGAAATCTGGTCCAGTTTTTTGTTTTGTTTTTTAAATTAAAATGAAATATATCAAAGGGAGTAATGTAATGAAACTAGTGCTAATGATTTTCATTGCTTGATTTGAATATTCTGAGTATATTGGCTACCTCCTATATTGTATAGTCATTTTAGTAATGTCTTGATTTTTACTACTATCAACTTTAACTTGTCTACCCAATCTTGAACCATTCTTTAATGAAAAATTAATCTATGCAAATAGCTCCTCTCCATAAACTGCACAAATCTCCTTTTATGTTCAAATCACTTTTTTCTTTTTCTTTTTTAAAATAGAAAAGGCTTAATATACTGAAAATGTTGTTCCACTTTCAATGTTAGAATTGGTAAACCTTAATATGCCAATTTTGACAAATTTAAAAATAAATGAACATTAATATAACAATGATCTGAAAGAATTCAAAAGCAATCATTGTGAATGAAATTAGTTAAAGCTAAATGTTCCTCATGTTATCTGTAACAAATTTTAGGCTCTCCTAATATAATTCATTTTGGTGTTTTTTGAGAGACTTTAGCCATTTATTAGACACAATCAAATAAAGTTTTGGTGGTGCTTCCTTCCAATAAATACAATCTCAGTGCAGAAAGGAATTGTAAGTAGCATGAAATAAAGTTTCCTTGAAATATGAAGATTGCTAACATTGTTGGGATTTATATTTATACTTACAAGAGGGTGCTGAAAAGTTCATGGTCCAACTCAATTCACAAAATCAAATCAAATGACCAAATATCAGAATTATTTTTTGGAAAGTCTCTTGGACTTGAGAATTTTTCAGTATCTTTTCATATAAAACATGCTTGTTTTTATGTCTTTTTTTTTTCTTATTCTTAAAGAGAGAAAAAAGGCAAGATTTTCAACATACAGATGTCCAAATTCTACAGAACTTTCTCAGACAAATTATTATTATAAACATTTTCTTTTCTTTTTTTTTTCCTCTTTTCCCAAACAAGTGGTCACAAAATGTTAAATTCATTTCCTTGAAAGAAATCTCAATTTTGTAAGACCAAACATTATTTTGTATATTTTACACAAATAGTTAACAGTGGAACTCAAAAATAAACATTGTTATGAAACACATGCACAGAAAATGTGGAAACATTACAGGTTTTTAATATATGTAATAACTTTTTATCATTCTTTTTTTTCTTTTAATCATTCCCCCCCAGCAGGCAATAAAGCCACTAAGAGGCAAGGGGCTACTGACTATAAGAGAATATGAGAAAAAAATATACTATTAAAGAGTGAGTACAATAAAAGAACAAGCATTAAGAAGACAGAAGATAATGGTTAACATTGCATTCAAATTTTTGTAGATGACTGGAAAATAAGAAGCCATAAGAGCTTCACAATCAATAAGTGCAAGAGAAGAAACTGTCGGCATAGGACTTATGGTTACGTCAAGCCATTTCACCTGTAAAATGAGACCTTGCTGCCAATCTAATACTTCATCCTGGGTATGACAATAAACTACATCTGCGTCCTGGGTAAGACGATAAACTATACCTGACAGTAAGGCCTCTGATCAGGAGGTTTTGAAACCACCTCTTAATTGCTGGTGTTCCCAGGTCTACACTGATCCAGGGTGATAGCACCTGTTAGGGGTCCCATGGGCAAATAGTTAACACCTAAACCTATGAAAGTGTAAAAATAGGTTTTAATACCAGAAATACTTTTTTGTAAAAAAAATTATTACCAGCAATACATTTTTGAAAATAAAATATTAGCAGCAACAGATTTTTTGAAGAAAAAATCTTACCAGCAGTAAATTTTTGGAAAAAAATATTACCAGCAATAAAATCTTGTCCACATTAAATAACCCATTGTGGTTAATATGCTGTAAACCAAACCAAACCAAACCAAACCAATCTAGTACTAGACTTAAATTAAAGTCTAGGCACCATATAGAAAAGTTTATCAGAACAATTACCATGAAATTATTTATAGAAAAGTCACAGGGAAGCTACATTATGGCAGTGGGAAAGTAACTGAAGCGAAGATGCCAAGTCAGGAATAATAGATTCTTTTTTGGATTTTATCAAGAATCTCTAAATATATAGCAGGAGCTCTAGACCAAATCTGAACAATATGAATTTCTTTATAGGTGCAAATCTGTTAGAATGAGAAACCAGTTATGGAACTTTATCTTTTTACAGATTTTACAACACTGGACATTTTGCAAAAAGATTTGAAAGTCATATCAGGAAATGGAACAAGTATTGCAATGTGTTCTATCACTATGAAAATACAAGTAAGTCTTTTGTTTTAACATTTTACTTGATATAGATTTATTTTGATAGTTATATACTAGAAATAGTATATTTTCTTAAATGTAACTTTTATTGCTACTTCAGGGTCTTTGAAAAGTCTGAGGAATGATATTGTCTTGAAATTGGAATTCAATTTAGAGGTTTATATATATATACATTTGACAGTATAGCTTTCTTTTTTATGGTTTAAAATGTGAACATGATTTTGAACAATTTTAGAGAATGTATTATGGGGGGGATCAATAAGTTTGTAGCCTGATAAACATTAGCTGTTTTTTTTTAATCTGAAATTTTCACTGTATATTGTTTAATATTTACCACTAAATTAAGTGCACTGATAAAGATTATTAAATATTTCTTGTGTAAAATAAAAGCCTTTTTCATCATTAAGGCTGCAGACTTAGATGTAATGTGTGTATAAGTAATTGCCTAAATATATTGTACCTATTGACATTCAAATTTATTTACAAATATTAATTTGCCATAGAAATGGTTCACTTTATTTACAAATATTAATTTGCCATAGAAATGGTTGTATTTTTTCATTTTATGCTTTTTTACTTTGCTCTGTTCTTAAACAAAAAATGGTGCTATTTGTTTGTATTTTATATTTAAAAATCTTATTACAACCAACTACAATTTGTATTTCAAATCTTTGAAGGAACAAAAAGACCATTTCAGAAAATCTGTTGTAATTTGGTAATAAATATATGATAGATAGAACTTGTGGTGCTCTGACTAAGTTTGTTATAATGTGATCAAAATATTTTTTCATTTATAATTTGTGTGTGTAAAATCTCAGTAGTAACTCCAACACTTGGAATCGGCTTGAATAACCTGTCAAGTATATTTCAGGTCAACAAGTAATGTCTTGGCCGAACAACATTTGTTCATTCTTGGTTATAATTCAGACTGAAATTTGTCAGACTCGTATGAATAAAAACATGCTGAGTTGTTTTAATTCAAAATTTTTTCAAAGAATATAACTTTGTTTCAACTCCATTGCTTGAAGTGGTAACTCAAATAAGTTCACTATTTACATTATTTGGACTGTTGTCCTCATCTTTGTCGCCATATTTAATAAGTTTACTGTTAATCATTAAAGTGTTATTTGGAACAAATTCATTTCAGCATGTTGAAACTAATAAATAAACTGTCATTCTAATAATGAGTCAGGCTAACAAATTTCTGCCCAAACTGTTAATAATATTAAACTTAAAGTGGTTTAAATTTTTTTTTTTTTAAGGTATATAGTTCTGTTATAATTTAAAATCTTGACTTAAATAAATTTTGTGTTTCACTACAATGTGATCTGGACAAACTTGTGCTCATTTAATTATCCTGACTCATTGAAGCAAACTGTAACACAAAGCCTGGACAATAAACACTGTTTACTAAACAGCAGTAAGTCTTAACTGTTTCCTCATTCTTGTATTTAGTTAATCAGTGACAGTGTTTGTGTGAATAAGAATTGTGTAATACTTTTATCATTATTACTTCTAATGTAAAAAAAATACACTACATGTGTAACAAGTCACTATGTAAAAAAAATTGATTTTAATATTTACTTCTGTAAAATATTTTTTCTATAAATTAAGATATTACTTATATTTTATTAATAAAAAAAATGTCCTTGAAATATTTTCAGCAAAGCTAAATAACTTAACTCCTCATCCCAGAAACTCAGAGAGTTTATCATTACTTACATGTGGTCTATTGTCCTCATCTTTGTTGTTTTTATCACCTGAACACTCTGTTTTAATTTCTGTGATGAAGAGTTATCATTACTTACATGCAGATTAGTGTTCTCATTTTTATTTTTATAACCTTTTGGCTGTTGTGCCCTCTGGCCTCCATTAGGTCTATTTATAGAAGTCAACCATTAATAATCATTTTCACAAATTGTCTTCTGTTTAAGTTAAATGTAGGACAGCAGATTAAAAAAATAGGTCAGGTAAGTTTGTCAAACCACTGAGCTCCAGAGTGGTCACTTTATTTTGAAAAATTCTACTGATAAAGGGAAATAATCTTGTTGGTCTTCATACAATGGTCTGTTGTTGAAGCCATCCTGGTGCTTCTACACACAGACATATATTTTTTTTCCTATTGTAGTTAGATTGTGATTAGATGCTTAAATTCTTTGACTCATTATGGTATCCTAAATTGTATGTATACTAAATTTTGTTTAAAAAAATATTGTCCTCAGTCTAAGTAATATTGATCACCTGGAGCTGTCACTGACATATAAATTTAGAAGGGCTTGTAATAAAAAAAAAAATTACATTTAAAATAGGTTTCACATTGTGTTCATAATGCTTGTATCACTGTAAAGAGAAATCGTTTGACACAATTTTTATCTAAATAAGTCACAAAAATTCATGAAATTTACATAGTTTTCATTTCTTTTATAGGATTTTATTAAACGTGAAGCTCTTGAAAACAGCCTTAATAAATTTGCTGAACTTCAAGCTACCAAAGCTGTTGTGCTAATGGGAGTTATTGTGATAAATGGAAAGACATTACGAGACTTGGGAATATTTTCATTGTCAAAGAATTTTCAAGATAAGGTAAGTTATTGCTGCTGGGGTTAAACACACCCTTGCACATATAGAAAATATCATATAAGTTCCCAAATATTTATCTCTTCTTTTTTTCTTCCTTCAATCATTTCACTCCAAATAAGGCAATAAAGCCATTAAGACACAAGGGTTTAGTGAGTGTGATAGAAAATGAGAAAAAGAGAAACATTATTAAGGAGAGAGAACAATAAAAGAGCAGGAATTAAGAAGACAAAAGATAACAATTGACATTGCACATAAATTTTTGAAGATTAAAATTGACTGGAAAGCATGATGGAAAAGTGTTCACCAGTATGAAGTGCAATTGTTAGCATAGAAATTACAGTTACATAAAGCCACTTAAACTGCGAATCTTAATTGTTGTTTTTAAATGACACTTTATAAAATTTATATTAGAAATTAGGTGATTGGAGTTCTATCTTGAAAGATAAATATGAATTAGGATCAAATACAGACCAGAATCTGATAGAATAAGAAGATAAAGAACAAATACAAAACATTTATCGATCTAACATGTTTATTAAGCTTTGTTAGAGAATTAAACATACTGTTAGTAATGTTATCTATTTCATTTACAATTTTTGTGGAGATTACTATTAATTTTTCACTAGTTTTTTTTCTCTCTTCCTTCTGTTGTGTTTTATTGCAACTCTCTAATAATTATTCTATAACCAGTAACAATTGGGAATTAAGTTTCCAGCAAGATTTGAAGACATCCCTTATTCTTGGGAGCCTCTTTTATCAAGACAGTGTCTTGTTGATTAGAACACAATGATTTTCACCAGCAGATATTGTGCAATTAAGTTTTTTTTTTTTCTCTTGCTTCCACTTTGCCATAATGGTGCCAATCTTCGCAACCTCCACAAAAGAAATTTCATGAATATATCTAATACTACAAAATTTCTTTTGTGGAGGTTGCGAAGATTATTGGACTCAAGATTTTAACGCTTGGTGAATTAGACATTTTGAGAATGGTTCTATACACCTGGCTATAATCTGCATCATTCTTGTAATAGTTTATTCATTTGTTTGATTGGAATCTTATTAGTAATGCCAGCCAAGATTATTGACACTGACTTGAGATCATACAAAGAGAGTGTACTTTGAAATTTTAATTATTGGCTTGTAATCTAATATCAAGGATAAATGCTAAACAACCACTCTCTTACTTCAACTATTACTAAACCCACAATTGAAAGAGATTTAAATATAAGAATGTATAGCAAAGTGTGCATCAAGTCTTTGATTAAAGATGACTGATCAGTTTGATTACACTATTATAATTGTTCCAGGGTAGCGTCAGATTATTAGCAATCTTCTTTATAGAAGTAATATTGTTTTTCAGCCACATGTAATAATGAACTGTTGATGCCAAATTGCATCCAAGCATTGTCATTGTCATCCTCTCTTTCTATTCCTTTCCTTCCACATGGTGAAAGTGAGAGAGATGTCTGTGAGCAGGAGTCACAGAGGAATATGGGTGATGTGTGCATCTGCGCAAGTCAAGCCCACCTTACTGCATGTTGCAGATCCTCTTTATGTCGATGGTTGAACTTGAAAGTCTTGGTCAAGGTCTCGGTTGATGTTGGCTTGTGTCAGAGATGTCTTCAACTGATCCTTGAAGTGTCATTTTGGGTCTCTGCATAGTTCTTGCCACTGGTGAGATCTCCAAACAAAATGATATTAGAGTCGTGAGATGTATTCTGGACAGATGGCCCATTTAGTGAAGGTGATGCTGAAGGATGGTAGCCGCAATACTGGTTGGTGATGTGGTCCTCCCAACTGATGTAAAGGATTTTTTTGAGTTTTGTTTCTTGGAATTGCTCCAGATGTTTGATGTCCTGATGATACAAGGTCCACATCTCACAAACATGCAGAAGGGTGGAGAGGCCATGGCTTGGAAAACCATGATTTTGATTCTTATGGTAAGGCGATGAATACCTGGTGCAAGAGTCTTCTTTATGCAGTATGAGCTGCTTTGATCCTGTTGTCAAGGTCTCTTTTGCAGGTGACATTATTTGAGAGGATGCTTCAAAAGTAGGGAAATTCATCAACAACTTCTCCTGGTAGTCCATCGATGTTCATGTTGACATCTGGTGTTGCTTGTCCAGGGATTGGCTGGATAAGGATCTTTCTGTTTTTGATCTTGACCTGCATCCCAAAGTATATGTAGGAAGTATTATACAGGTTTACCAATCTCTGGCAGTTAATGGTAATCTGGTCCACAGTCATATTGAAATAAGTTCTTAAATGCAGGAGTTGTGCCAGAACGAAGTTGGGTGAGGTTGAAGAGTCCACTGTTGAGTCTGTATTGGATGTCAATGCCAATGCTTGTTGATCATGATACCAAGGTACAGAGGGAAGATTGTCGGCACCAAGACAGCCTTGCTTAAGGCCAGTGGTGATTGGAAATGGGTTCAAGGGGACTCGCTGATGCTTCACTTGGCCCTCTATTCTGTTGTGGAGCATATGGATCAGGCACAAAGTGGTCTGGACTGCCAAAAGTAGGCAAGAGTGGACTACATTGCTGGTTTGGGGACTTTGTTGAAGACCTTCTGGAGATCCCAGATGATGGACATAATTTTTGTTGCTATGACTCTTCTCTTCAAGCTGTCACACACAGAAGACCATGTTGACAATACATCTCAAAGACTGGATACCATATTGGGATTCTGGAAGGATTACTTCTGCCATTGGGAGGAGTCAATTCAGAAATACTCATGTGAAGATCTTACCAGTGATGCTTAGGAAGGCTAAGACACAGTAATTTCTGCAAGGAGGGCAGTCACCTTTTTTGAAGCTTGTCACAATGTTAGCATTTTAAAGTTTTCAGGCAATGTTTTATCTTCCCAGATTTTCTGTTTCAGGAGCATTAGCCAAGTCTTCAGTTTGAGGCCACTTTGGGAGAAAAATTCTAGGGGTACATTTGTTATGTTTGGGAGATTTTTCAGGTTTCATGAAGAGGAGTGCTTCTTTCAATATCTGGAAGTTTAGGGCTTTCCAGGAATTGAAAGAAGCATCCAATGCTGGGTAAGGAGTTGAGGGATATTTTGCAGATGGTGTGGTCATTAAGAAAGCTCTGGAATTAGTTTTTTCAGCAGTCCAAGATGGATTCAGGATTTAGTACCATCCGTGTCCTCAAAGCCTCTCATCATTGATTTGATGGGAGCCAAAGATTTATTTCATAGATGCATAGAAGCAATACATATCCCTTTGGTCCACATATTGTTGGATTTCTGCTGCATTTGCTTGCCACTAGGTATTCTGGATTGAACGGAGTCGTCTTTGGCAGTTTATCGTTGCGTACAGATAGATCATGTTCTTTTCAACTGAGAGGAGGTTATGAAAAGCTTGGCATGCTTCTTGTTTTTGATTGTTCCTTTTCTGAAACCCAAGCACTTCTTTGGCTGCTGATGCCATTGCATCACGCAGGGTTGTCCATTTTCTGCTGGTGGTCTCTGCATCTGATGAGTCATTGAGGAACTTTTATATGGATAGTCAAAATAGCTCCAATATTTAGGGGTTCTAAAGCTTCACACAATCAAAGTTTCATTGAGATTGCCTGCAATAATGAGTATCTGTGGTTTGGTTGTAATGCAGTTGCACCTTCTAAACGGCATGAAAGAGAAATTACTTGCTTGTACAGATGTTTCTCATTGAAGTGTTATAGTAAATTCTCTTTCATCTCAATTGGAATATTCACTAAAGTAGCTGTATTTCTGTAAACATTCTAGAGAACACCTTTACAAAATAACTCATAACTGAGATAGAAAAATATGAATAGAAAAATTCCCACATTCTAGTTATCTGAAACAGGAAGTTTTCTTTACAAACAATTGCTGCCAAAATAATGATTGGTATTCCTTTTTTAAAGGAAAAGTTTTTCATTCTTTCCTTAGTCTTTCTTTACCTGACAATGACAGCCTTTGCAATGCCCAGTAGATTAAAACAAAACCTAATTTTGATTTCTTCAGGTAAGCCACTTTTGAAAGACAAAGAAAAGTTTAGAAAATTGTTCTTACTCTATTTTCCTTTTATATGGCTGAAAAAAATCTTACCTCATTTCTCAATCGTAGTTTATTTTTAGTAAATGCATTTTTTTATACCCATGCATAAAGGTTTGGGAAACAATTTCTTATTACATGTTAAAATGAAAACATGATCTATTTGGATCCCATTCCACATTTATTTAGCCTCATATTTTATACTATTAGTCAGATTTTTAGATTATGTTGCTCTTGTTAATTTAGGCCATCCTTTTCTGATATTTATTTCTTAGATTTTATGAATTTGTGTTCATGCCTTTATTACAAGTAATGGAATTGAAAAGCCTCTACTCTGTATATAATATTCATTTGTAATTAAGCTTTCCAGTTCTTTTTTAAAATGAAAGTAATGTATCATGTCTTCAAACTCGTACACAGAAACGAGTAATTTAAATATTTATACATGATTGTAGTTTGTTTCATTTTGAGATTGGAGTCTTGTGCATCTGTTTGTCATAAGCCAGATTTGCACTATTACATACAACCCCTTCCTTATTATGGTATATCAATTGCAAGATCATCATTAAAATGACCAGCTCTGGGAGAGAATTCAAAGAGGTTTCATTTGTACTTCTCACAGTTGCAAAAATGATTCATTGTAATAGGAGTCTCCCCCATTGCCAGAAGCTATGATTAGTGACTATTTAGATGCATAAATTGCCCTGTGATTTGCACAAGGGATTAGTGTTCAGGCCCAGGTAATGTGGGCAGGAATTCCCACCTTGGAAGATTGATGCAACACAATCTTTCTACTTCCTCCTCCTATTTGACTACATAACAAACTGAATGAAGCCTAATCGATATCCATAATATAAAGTGATTCATAATTAAATTTCTTGACATTTCATGTGAAAACTGGAATTCAATAGTAGAAGCCAGATTTTGGAATTCTTTGACAACAGTATATTGTTTAATGCTTGAAATCACTTAAGAGGTTTATGACAAGACCATTACACAATTATGCTGGTCTCTGATATTATTTGTGTAGGAACATTATTAGTATAATGATGCCTTATAGAATTATAGAAATTACAAAAAAAAAACAAATTACATGATTTTGTAAATTATACACATTTTACATCTAAAAGGTTTTTATCTTTAGTTTTGCATATATGAATATTACAAATAACCACAACAACAATAATAATAATAATATCAAATCACATTATACAATCTTCTTTTTTTTTAATAAAAAGTTGATGCTGATACCAGTTTGCAATAATGGCAAATTAGCTATGAATGACATGATTTTTTATATTCTTTATGTAATTATATCTGAATAGAAACTTGTCAATTCTGTAATTTGACTTCATTACAAGGGGGGGGGAGGTGAATTGTTTTTAGCCTGATCCATTTCCCAAAATCAGTTTTCTGTTTGGTCAGTGAGATACTAATTTTGAAACATGTATTGTGCTGACAACTTTTCAGCACTTGTTTAACAAGAATTATTTGTGATACTATGAAAAACCACTTATGAAAGCAAACTCTAGATGGTTTTATCTCAATCTCAAGTGTTTATTCCTTTTGAAGTTTGGTCTCTAAGCAGCATTCACTTTGACCAAAGTAGGATGGGGAGGTAAAGGAATGTTTTGTTTTTTTTATTTATTTAGATCAAGTGTCAGCAAAACCAGAAATAGGGTATATATATATATATATGAAAGCTAGTTTATTTGAACAGTCATGTTTGAGATCGGGGAGAGTTCTGGTCAACTCTTTGCAGGAGAAGGACTTGTCCATTGTATGATTCCCAGTCACCACGTCAATGGGTGAGGAGTTGGTAGTGGGGAAGAACTGACATGGCAGAAGTTGTCCTAAGTATTGCCTATCTACCCACACAGACATGCAGGTGATGTCCTGAATAAAACATTTATTTTATAATATGGAAAAGAGGGTTTGTGTTCTTATACCTTGATGTGGTGCTTTGCATCTTGTTACCTTGTGAGAAGCCCTTTCTCACCTTTCAAGGCACACACTGATTAGATTGACGATTGAAATGCAATTTGGGATAATCACTGGCTTGTCTTTGAAAAGCTTGGGTTAGTCACGTTGTATGCCATTCAGTTAATGTTTGATTTGTAGAAGAATTTATCTATTTTAATTTCATTTTTGCAGATAATTGAATCTTTAAAGACATGTGATACACCTGATTTGAATCTGGAAGTAATTCCACATGACTCCAAAAATCTTGTTGTATTTTCCCAAGGAAATAACAAAGCAAATCGGAAAATGGTTCTTCCCATCCTTAAATCTCTTCTCACATCTGAAGATTTTTCCAGGTAAGAAAACTAATTAGAAATTATTTTTCTTTTGTTATTATCATGAGGGTGTATACTGGAAACATTTTTAATGATTATTGTTTCCTCACTCATGAAAACTCATATTATCATCTCTAATAGCTATGTACTATCTGCAAAAGGTCTCAAAAAGTTGTCATGCACTATCATCTTTTCATGGTTGATATAAAAATCTGTGAATTTAAAAAAAATTTTTTTGTCTGATTGCAAATGAAGCAAATAGCATGAACAAGACTATTAAATGGAACTGAATTTATTTTCTGTTTAAAATCTTGACAGTTATCTTTGTACATTAATGCATTCAAACTTTTGTCCTCATTTTGTCTGTTTGTCACAACAATTTGGCTGCTACACTCTCCAACCTTTGGGTGTGCTAGTTGCATTCATTTTTTATGATGTTACTTCTCTGTTACACTCAAATGTAGTAAGATAAAAATTGAGTATCACAGAAATAGCAGTGACCTCTGGTTTGTAATAAAGTTCAAAATACTAGATTGTTGAAAATAGTCTTTCTTAGAAGCTTAAAACTGCTGTCATTAAACAATCACATCATTCTATTACTTTGTACTTTATTACAAACCAGAGATTACTTCTTCTGAGGACAGTAGCCTGAATGAATTAATGTACAATTAACTACTTATGCTTTTATTTTCAGTTGCTTTTGAAAAATGTTGATGCAGTATACATTTTTATGCTGCAAAATATAATTTACATTTTGTCAGATGATCAGTTTTCAGTTAAAATATGTACATAGTTTTAATTTTGTTTTTATTTTTATTATTGTAATTGTTGAGTCATAAATTCCTTCAAGAATATATTGAAATCTATTATTCTCTTGGGATGAGGTAGTTGGTGACCCACTCATGCAAAGGCAAGTATAGCCTCAGAGAGTTAGTGGGTGACAAAGATAAGTGTAAAAAGGCCTGATACAGAAGTGGGGGGCGTGAAATATGCTTTGACTGTGTCTAATGATTATTTTAATTAAATGTAGTGAAAGAACTATTTAAGAAAGTTAATTAGCTTCAAGAAATTAGAGGATTTGAGGTGTTCTTAAAGAATTTAATCTGAATATTAACTTGAGAATAACTGTGGCTTGTTTCTAAAATGGCATATTCACCAGTGGTCTTAGAGGAAGAATAGATTTTGGGAAGTAGGTTATCAGAAGTTGATTAAGTGGCTAGCTACCCATGAACAGAAAAGAAATTAAATTAATACTAAAATGTACTGATACATCTTTTGGGATAAGCTAGCAGGCTGAATTATAGAGTCACAGGGTGCACTTTATAGATTTTTACTGCTGTCATCAGAAAGAAAAGACACCTTGGAGATGTGAGAAAGATCAGAAACATGAAAATCACAGTAGCAGCTGTAAGAACTGTCCATCACACATTATCACACCAAAGTTTGAAAAGTGGGAGAAGGAGAAAACAGATATGACTGTTGTTCTATAAACATCTATAATTGGAAACTAGAGATTCATGCTGTTGGGCATAAAAATTGAGGAAAGGAAGCTGCTAGTTTGAAATGACTGTGTTATAACTGGGTGAATTCATGGGATCAATATTTATTAGTGCATATGTTGGATGACTAGTGATTAGAGGTAGGATCTAATTGAGAATGGAAGATGGAAAAACTTGGAAGGTCATTGATGAAAATTAAGGACAACATAGGTTCAACAATAAGAGTCATCTGCATTAGTACAAAAAATTCTAAAATTGTTGCTGTTGAAGATAACTTTCATCTCATGATTTGCTAAAGATTGGATCAGTTCAAAATTTCCTCCAGAAATACCATAACCTTTCAACTTGTGAAGAAGACCAGTCGGTCAAACCCTGTCGAATGCTTTCGAGATTTCCAAAGTAACTTCACCATTTTTATCTAAAGTTTGATAGAATCTTTCAGCAATAATTGTTAAACATCGGCAGTTGACTTAGAGAAGCAAAAGCCATATTGTTTGTCCAAAAGAAGACCCTGTGATGTGAGATGCTTAACCAATTCATAGTTGATTAGGACCTCTAGTAATTTGCCAAAAAGGGGTAGAAGACTAATAAACAGATACTTTGAAAGGTTTGATGGTTCACCTGAATTCTTAAAGACTGAAAGAGTATTTCCAACAAGCAAGAAAGCAAGAAGCAGCAAGTCATTTATTGTACAGTATAGAGAGAACAAGAGCCAGTTCAGGAGCACATTTCTTAAGGACTATTACAGTGATACCATCAGGACCATATGCTTTATGGGTATCCAGATGGATGGACTGATCTGCATATCACTCAACAGAGATTCAGTTCTAAGTGGAAAGTCAGGCAAGGATACTCCAGATGAGCCAAGATAAGAGTTTGAAGAGAATTTAAGGCAAAAAATTCTGCTTTATCAGCAGAAGATTTCAACACCTCAAATTGAGTGAAGAGAGGAGGAATAGAAAACTTACTTTTATTTAATACATTATTACAGAGCTGCCAGAGTTCTTAGAGGCTACAAAGTGCCTCATTCTCTGAGCAAAGACTTAGCACATTCGAGGACACATTTACAGATACATGTAGCTATGAATAGGCATTTGTTGTCATCAGAGCTGTCATGCATGTATAACTGGAAAAAGTGATTCCAGTGCACTATATCAGCTGAACAGGCTGGTGTGAATCATAAAGAAGATTGTAGTTTCACCTAGTATTTCCAAGAAGGCACAATTCTCAATAGGAAGGTTAAGAATATCAATCTAAGGGGTGTCCCAAAGAAAATCATAAAGTGAATCCCAATCAGCATGCTTATAGGTGGTTCCTTTCTAATAGACGACTGAAATGAAATATCAACAGCTATTACAACATAATCCAAATTGCCAAGAGGACAGAGTTGTAAAGCTGAACAAGAGCTAGGAGAGGAGGTAAGGAACAAATCAAGTAAGGAAGCATGTTAATCAGATTTATTAGAGAAACAAGTAAGAAAATTCATTATTTGAGTGAGACTGAGCAATGGAAAAATTGAAAGTCTGAATATCAGTAGCATCAGTGATATTTGAATGCTTAAGCCAATTGTCATGATGCCCATTAAAATCATGAGACACAAAAATATTCACAGATGAATGGAGAGAGAGAGAGCTATTTCTATACTGTTAGAAATTTCATCTAATATACTGCAGTTTTGAAAAGAAGGAGAGCAATAAAAGAAAAAGTGAGTTTATAGAGTGTAATAATGAAAGATGAAAGCATTATCTGAGGACTCCCTTACCATTGGAAAATTATCTCCAGTGTAAATAGCAAGGCCATGCATATGTATGCTAGAATCTTTTTGGCAAAGAGGAAGATAATATAGAATAGAGAATTCATTGGTAGCAATTTAGAGGTTCCCAGGCTTACACACTTGCAAAGAGACAAATTGAGGTATTCTCAAAATCTAACCAGCTGGAATTGTTTTGAAAAATCTTATTTGGGTTAATTCCATTCTGCAAAAATTAGGTTATTTCATTGATAGTGATGGCCTAAATTTCACTTTGGACTGAATCATTAGGTGAATGATTGTTTCTGACTAGGGATCAGTGACCCAACCATTATGGAAACGGGTGGATTCTTAATAAAAGTAGAGAGAAAAAACACTTTTAGTTTCATTCTCATCATTCATTGACTGCAGTTAAATTCCATGTCATTGTTGCTAAGCTTCTGATGGATACACAGATAAAGAGCATTTAGCTATATTACCTACAAAAAAGACAAATAACTATTTACATTCATACCTAGGACTACTATTAGAAGTATATCATTGAAGTAATATCACTGCTTCACATCACCCTTCAGTCGAGTAGAGGGTAATACCCACAAACTAATGTTATGTATTAATCCATATACATATATCATTTTAATAAACCTAGAGTTGAGGTTGACAACAGTGTTAGTGATTTCCTTGGAGTTTTCTCTCACATTTGTAATTTCCATCTGAGCCTCAGATCCTGAAGTTACCACGGTCCCACAGTAGAATTAAATTCTGCTGTACACTACATGTTTTAGAAAGAAAGTCCTACCACTAGGCAGTACCACCAGGAATGTTATTTTACTGTAGGAAGCATATGGCTATTCAAGAATATGGCAATAGTGTCCAACCCTTCATGGTCAAGGTCCATGAACTATTACAGAGTACATTGGGTTGCCATGGATCTATGGTTTGAAGATGGTGGTATAATGTAACCAAGAGCTAAAATAAATTACATTTCCTTAAACTTTTTTCATGGCATACTTGACATCTTTGTTGTTATACCAAGATTTCAATCAATTTTGGAAAACATTCAACTTTAGTTTTGTGTGACAAGCATTTGGTTTGAATTTGCAACATTTCAATGTTGAGCATGAAACTTCTTTAGGTCTTATCATAAGCCTAATGTTGCTAGAGAAATCTCCTGTCTGTGATGGTGACAAACCAATGACCAAAATAAGTGTCTGACACACTCTCAGCCTTAGCCCTATATCTACACCAGAAGCGAAAAATGAGGGTGAGAAAACACAAAAGCAATCAGATATAGGCTATTTATATCACTATGTCCCCACCCAGGCATTGTGTTACACTTGCTACTGTGGCCAAAAGTACTTGACCTTGAGATTATCACAGTATAAAACACAGAATGTGCTACATTTAGGGATAAGAACATTGAATTAACCCCTGGCATAATGTTACTATTTTCTTGACTGAAATGCATATAAAATCTTATACATTGAGTTTGCGTATGACAATATTTTGCAGAGATGTGCATTTAAAACGAAAATTGATATAAAAAATATAATTTGGTCATAATTTTACAATGCAAATGTATTACAATTCGCTTATGTATTTTTATTTGAAAGGTAAATTGTATTTTCTATTAAAATTGAAAAAAAATGTTTTTTGAAGGATTTAAATTAACTGATATATTTTCATTGGATCTTTCTCTTGTGGGCAAAGTAATTGTTTTTAATTTTCCAACACTAAATTTTATTTAGGATTTGTTTGTATTTTGAGTTTAG